AGATGGCTTATGTTGGCGGTGCTGGTGACACATCATTGTCAATGTACTTAATGTCACTAAACTGTACATTTAAAAATGGTAAATTTTATGTTATGTGGTTTTTACCACAATTTTTTAAAAAAATACTGTAAAAAGTTGGTCACGGTGGTGCACACCTATAATCCCAGCAGCTGGGGAGGCTGAGGCAGGAGGATCACAAGTTCAAAGCAGCCCCAGCAAAAGCGAGGCACTAAGCAACTCAGTGAGACCCTGTCTCTAAATATAATACAAAATAGGGCTGGGTATGTGGCCCAGTGGTCAGTGCCCCTGAGTTCAATCCCTGATACCAAAAAAAAAAACAAACAACAACAACAAAAAAAAAAACCTGTAAAAAGAAAAGCCAATTTGCAACCTTTCCTACTGAAGTTGATCAACAGGGAGTTGCCACCACGTCCTCATCTGTGATCACAGATGCTCACCTGCAATCCCAGACCCTTGGGAGACTGAGACAGGAAGATCACAARTTCAAGGCCAACCTGGGCAACTTATCAAGACTCTCAGCAATTTATCAAGATCCTGTCTCAAAAAACAAAAAGGACTAGGGATGTAGCTCAATGATTATTGTTTTAAAAAATAGGTTTATGCCACTTGGGTGGACATCTAATCATCAGTCCACGAGCCGTGACCTGCCATAAACTGCCGCAGTTTTCTGTGGAAGCAGCCTCAGGGAATGGTGTCACCAGGTGTGCAGAAGGCACGCGTGAGACATTGCTTAGGCACTTCACCAGTAGCACCAAGGATGCACAGGCGTGTGCCCAGCCTCAGAGAGCTTCAGTGTCTCTGTGGGTGTAGGGTCACTTTCAATCTTACAAGTATATCAAGAGGGCTCCAGAAATCAGGTTTGCGGTAATGTGAACATCAAAAAGAAAAGTATAGACGGAATGATAGGGTTGGTGACACATCTGTTTCAACCCCTGATGTAATAATTCATCCAAGAAAGGATCGCCGGTGATTGCCAAGTCACTGAGACAAAGGATGTGGGAACAGGATATTCACAGTCTCAAGGTGTCACCTCACAGGTTCCTGGTTAATTTCACAGGGAAGGTGGTACCTTCAAAATGGAGGGGTCTGGTGTCACCACCGTAACCAAGCTTTCAAACCTCGCTTTGCTGGGACAGATTGGCGATGTCTGTAACTCCTGATGTGACAGTAAGACAGATTGAACATCACTTCTGTGGTTTTCTTGCCCACATTGACCTGTACCTCACCATGAGGAAACCCATCTGGCAAATCCAGAATAGCTTGGGTTCTTCCAAAGTCAATGAGACCAAAAAATGAGACTGAAGAGATATAAAGACTCCATGTGTGAACCTAGTTTGGATCCTAGATCCTAAAAACAGGTTGTAAAAGGCATTTTCAGTACCTTGCAAAAAAGAAAGATGAACTGAACTGAATATCAGAAGATGTTGTAATTAATGTCATTTCCTTGGAATTGCCGATAGTATCATGATTCGTAGGAAAATGTCCTCAGGAACAGATGCTGACATGTTCGGGGTGCCATATCATGTCTGCATGTTCACCAGCAATGGTCCAGAGGAAGCAATATTTATATACAGCATACACACAGAAACTCAGAACCAGTGTGGCTGAGTGTCCACAATTGGGGAATCTGGGTGAAGGGTCATAAGCACTCATTCTAATCTTCCATCATTTCTACGGATGCGAAGATTTTCAAGATGAAAAAGGAAATCAGAGAGAGCCAGTGGCCATTTTCTGACTGAGAAAGACTCATACTTCTGTCCCCCTTCTCTCCCAGGGGACCGGCCTGAAGACTTGCAGGCATCTGTCGTCTGCAGTCTGTCGATAAGGAGGAAGCAGCTGAGGAACTGTGTTGGTGGTGGGAGCACTGGGGACAAAGGCTCGTGGTCCTGGGAGGAGGGGAGGAAAGTCTGCAGGCCACGTGCAACATTAAGGAACTTCTGGCTGCAAAATGTTTGGGGCTGGGAAATAGTCACTAAGCTGGGGTCAGCCAGGGCAGAGGAAGAGCAGGGACTCCAAAGTGGCTTCTGGGTGTAGAAGCTGGGTTCTCCCACCCTGGGAAGCCTAGAGGAGCCTATCTGGGGGGTTCCGCTGCAGGGCCAGTATAAAGCACAGGCCTCTTCTGGGTGCTGGGTGCTTGCAAAGTACTCTCCATTCCGTGTGACCATTTCCTCTTCACATGGGGTGTGTTCCTACATTACAAACAAATAAAACTGCCTGTAGAATTTAGAGCTGTTAGGTCCAGAGCAAACTCATTGAGGATTCAGACCCAGCTCTGCCTGGCTCTGGCTTGCAGAGGTGGGGTGGGGAGCAGGGTGGCCTCCCCAGCAGGGGGGAGGACCTGGTAAAATGAGATTCCTCAGTAAGCCATGGCCCTTCCATTGGAGGGTAATCCTCTTGGGCCTGATAGCAGAGTTCTGAAAGGTTTGAAAAGCAGGGAGGAGGAGGAAACTAATCTGATTGAGCACATCTGCCGCGTGGGTGGGTTGCCATAGATTGCTGGCTGCCAGCAATACCCTGCAAGGGTCTTAATGCCACCCCCAGCACAATACGCCTCACTGTGAAGAAAAAAGAGATCATGGGGCTGGGGGCATAGCTCAGTGGTAGAGCACTTGCCTAGCATATGTGCATACAACTGAAGTTGCCTCAGCTGTTCAGCACAAGGTTCAGGAACACCTGGGCAATTTAGAAAAAAAAAAATTCTTCCTTTTTAAATTGCACAATGAATATAGGGTTGTTGGAGAAAAACAGACTATAAGATCATTAGAGAAACTCAAATCACCCCAAATACCACTATCCAGAAATGAGTGACCGTTTGTTCACGGAGTAAACTGGGCACCTGCTTGGGCGCCAGGCACTGCTGGAAAGTGAAGGCAGAGCAACAAACGGGCCAAACCCATGAAGGTAGGAACCGGAGGTCTTAGAAGCCAAGCCGGGACCGGCCGTTCATGTTAATACCGATAACAAGTAATCTGGACATGAGAAGTGCTAAGATGATGTTTAGTGGCCTCTGCCCTGATTCCTGAGAGATCCTAGATGAGGTAGGTGAGGGGTCAGTTTCACATGGCTGTGTCCTGCCCCTGGGAGTGTTGGGCGTGAGACTTAGAAGCCACTAGTGACCGGATCCCAGTGGTGCACAGGGCTCTTCCCCCGGGGCAGCTTGTGGTTCCTTGCCCCACTGCCCAGAAGTGCAAGACCCGAGAAGGTGTGTGATGGGGGCAGCGCCCTCCCGCTGACTGTGGAAGGGGCTGGAGGGGCTGTGGGAGGAGGTGGGACACAGGCTGTCAGTCTCTGCCCTTCCCTCTTTGGGACTTGTCACTTGCTCATCTCCTAACCGTGTCAGACCAGAGCTTCCTGTGTCGACATTCTCACTTAGTCGCTGTTACTGGGCACACTGAGAACACAGAGCCTGGCTGCCCGGAGGCCTGTTTCATTTCGCAGTGATGGTCTTTGAGTTCAGGAATGGGTTGTTTCTCTTGTAGAGCAGCCTGTGGTTGGCATTGCCTTATCTCTTGAAAAGTTCCAGAGGCTGCTGGGAACTGGGTCAGAGGCCCTTGCAGTTGTGAGCAGGTGCACAGAGGCTTTGTTTGCTGTTCCCTTTGAGGTCCACCGGGCCGCCCACCACCTTTCTGACATTGCCTTAGCTGCTTTGCACCCCACAAGGCTGAGCTTGGAGGCCACAGGTGGCCAGACTGTGGACAGGCCTTTGAGGGGCCTGGCACTGATGTGGGAGTGGGAGCTTCCAAGAGGCAGTGACTTGGCAGGTGATGGGCAGATCAGGGTTGGCCCAGTGGCGGGAATGGGGAAGGGCATTCCAGGGAGGGGAACTGTCATGAGCCCCCCCACACACACAAACACAGCCCCTGGACCTTGGCCCTTGGTACATGAGGAGCCTCTGTGGCTCCTGGGAGCTGTCCACAACTGATAACAACCAAGAATGGATAGGTCAATGCTTCTGTTTCCCAAAACTAGGGTAGAGTAACCCAGGGACGGTATTTCAGACAGTTTCGAAGAAACCTTCAAGGGTCAAGCTCCAGCTGCCCACAGTGGTGCTTGCTAATATGCCCTCTGAGGCTTTTTCCCCCTTCCTGCTTTCTCTTCCAACCTATCAGTCTTTCCTGGGCTCACCTTCTGAGCCAGCTGTTTCCAAGGCAACCCAAGCTCATACCCACATAGAGAATGCAGAGGGGCCGTTGAAGGGCTTTTCCACATTGGGAGGGAACAAGGTCAGATTTGCAAGGTCATTCTCACTGTGGCTTGGAGGTTGGATAAGTGAAAGCCATTCAGGGTGTTGGGGAGCACCTATCCCCCAGAGCTTGACCTGACTGATGTTGCTGGCTGTTCTCTTCGCCTCTCTTGTGTCCCAGACACCAGTCTGAGCATTCGGTGTGTGTTTTCTCATTGAATGTATAAAAGCCTTATGAAGTGTAGGTTCCATTTTATAGATGAAGAAGCGGAAACCGAAGTGTAGGTTCCATTTTATAGATGAAGAAGCGGAAACCGAAGTGTAGGTTCCATTTTATAGATGAAGAAGCGGAAACCAAATGTGGTGTTGCACACCTGTAATCCCAGCTTCTTGGGAGGCTGAGGCAGAAAGATCACAAGTTCAAGGCCAGCCTCTGCAACTTAGTGAGACCTTGTCTCAAAATAAAAATTGTTTTTTTATAAAAGACTGGCAGTGTAGCTCAGTGGCAGAACACTTGCCTAGCATATGCAAGGACCTGGGTTCAATCCCCAATACAAAAAAAAAAAAAAAAGGAAGCTGAGCCCCAGAGAGGCTGAGACCCCTTGGCCATGATCACAGCCAGAAGCAGAGGCTTGAGGAGTCAAGTCCAGGTTTGGCAGACCTGGAATGAGCTTTTAAAACCCATCCGAAGTCCAGTCTCTCTGCTTTCTTTCCTCCCTGCCCACACTGTCCAGGTGCTGTAAGATGGCCTTTCGCTTCCTGTGTGTCAGTAACATCTGCTTCTGCTTCCCTGTAGGTAAGTTTGAGGACAGGGAAGACCACGTACCCAAGTTGGAGCAGATAAACAGCACAAGGATCCTGAGCAGCCAGAACTTCTCCCTCACCAAGAAGGAGCTGCTGAGCACAGAGCTGCTGCTCCTCGAGGCCTTCAGCTGGAACCTGTGCCTGCCCACACCTGCCCACTTCCTGGACTACTACCTCTTGGCCTCTGTCAGCCAAAAGGACCACCACTGCCACACCTGGCCCACCACCTGCCCCCGCAAGACCAAAGAGTGCCTCAAGGAATACGCCCATTACTTCCTAGAGGTCACCCTGCAAGGTGAGGGCAGCAGAGGTGGCTGGGGTCCCCACCACACACACACAGGGCTTGGATCAGAAGGCACTGAAGGGCATGTCCATCTAGGTCTGCATGTAGAATAAACAGCAGAGGCTGCTGGAGAGGCATCTGGTCCCCAGCAAACTACAGCTCAACCCATAATCTGTTTATGGTAACCTGAACATTGCAGATGATTTGAATAGCACAGAGTCACAGCTCAGTCATCCCCAAAGAGCTTCACTATACAGTAGGATATGAGATGGAATTGTGTTTACATCTGTTTTAGCAATAAAGGTTACCCAGTTTGGGGACCCCTACTTGAAACCCCTCTCTTCACAGTGTCTTAGAATGTAGGTGTGAGGTGACATACCAATCAGAAATAATGCAGATAAAACCACTTGATCACCTACCACACACTCGATCACCTGCCACAATCCAGAAAGATCATGAATGGCAGTATTCATGGTCCTGATATCAAGCATGAATCGAGTGCTTACTGTGTGCAGACTTGTTGGTCCAGAGCTATGCACACATTGTCTCATTTGAACTTTACAGTGACCTCACACAAGCATCATTTTAGAAGTGAGGAAACTGATATTTAAAAAGTGACCTAACTTGGGGCCAGAGTTGTGCTCACTGGTAGCGCACTTGCCTAGCCTGTGTGAGGCACTGGGTTTGATTCTCAGCACTGCATATAAATAAATGAACGAAATAAAGGTCCATCGATATCTACAAAATTTTTTTTTTTAAAAATTACCTAACTTACCCAAGATCATTACTAGGATTTGAACCTGGGAGCCTGACTCCACAACTGTGCTTCTAACTAGAATACCTCCCTAACTGACTGATACCCTAAAAGGTGAAAGTTCAAGTAATTGAAAGTCAAGAGCAATTTAAGACAACATAGGAAGGCACTGAAAACCAATACCATTCATGAAAACCAATACCATTCATGAAAACCAATACCATTCATGAAAACTGTAGGAATTTCAGCTGTTGGCCTTTGTATAAAAATAGTATCAGCTTTGCTCTGTTGCCGGCTATCTTAGTAGGATATGAGATTTCTCAGTAAACCTAGGGAAGGTGCCCATTGTAGTTATAAATATCAAATTCCTGTAGCAGTTTATTCATTCACTGAGCACCTACTGTGGATCAAGCATTGTTGCTATTACTAAGCAGCCTTCAGTCATGCCCTAAAACAGAGTCCTTTGAAATGGTGTGTCATTCACCCATGACAACTAAAACAGGACAGATGAGTTACAGTTCTGTTTGTAGCCCATCAGCCAGCCCCATGTGGCCCCACAGGACTCATGGACAATAATTTGAAAAATCACTTGTCTAAGCTAATCCCCCAAACTGAGAGCAAAGGTGTCTTTGGGGAAAAAATATTTAATAATGGAACTTCATATTTTTCAAGTTTTTATCCTATTTATAGAGCATCGGTGAATAGCCTTTGAACTGATTCATTTGTCTGCCAGTTCTCAGAACAGGCACAGGACTCCAAGGGTGCTGACTCCCTCTGGGATTCTCTTTCAGATCATATATTCTACAAATTCCAGCCTTCTGTGGTTGCTGCAGCCTGTGTTGGGGCCTCCAGGATCTGCCTGCAGCTTTCTCCCTACTGGACCAGAGACCTACAGAGGATCTCAAACTATTCCCTGGAACATCTTAGCACGTGTATTGAAATCCTGCTGGTGTAGGTTCCTCTCCTGATCTCTGTGTTTCTTAAAAAATTGAGGTTCCACTTGCCCTTGAAGCCCACCTCAGGGCATGGGGGATTTCCTGAGTCTAGGGCCTCACCTACTGTGTCTCCTGATAGAATTGGGGTTAGGGAATTGCCCCTTTCTATTTGGGGTAGCTTTGGGTTTGCATTTTTAAGATCAGGGAGCAAGGGAGAAGAGAGGCTGGGTGCCCCTCCTTCTGCACACCTGGGCTGCTGGGCACAGTGGTGCACACCTTTAATCCTAGTGACTCTGGGGCCTGAGGCAGGAGGATCACAATTCCAAAGCCAGTCTCAGCAACTTAGTGATGCCCTGAGCAACTTAGCAAGACCCTGTCTCAAAATTTAAAAAAATAATTAAAAGGACTGGAAATGTGGCTCGGTGGTTAAACACCTCTGGGTTCAATCCCCAGTACCAAAAATAAAAATTAACATCTGGGCTCTTTGATCTAAGCCCAGTGTAATCTTATGGATAATCACACTGAGGGGCTTTTACAAGCTACTTTTCTCAGAAATGGCTGTGAAACTGACCTATCCAGCTAAACCCCAAGTGGCTTTACCTAAGAAGCTGCAGCGTCTTTACAAGGGCCCCTGGGAATCTTGGGAAAGAAATGTTTGGTGTATCAGAGAACATGCTTAACGGCATCTTGGATCCTCCATTGTGAAATGGATATTGGAGTCCAAAGAGGTCCATGGGGACCTCAGGGAGGAGGGCAGACAGGACAGATCCTGCGTGGCCACCCCCAGTGCACTCCCTCTTGCACCCAACAGATGGCGGTACATCTTGGATGTAGACCTGCATGGTGACAGCAAAATTCCTCAGGTCCCATGCTTGGCTGGTGGCTACCTGCTCTCAAAATTGTCAGTCCTGCTCCCTAGGCTTTGTCTTAAATTGTGTGTTTTTTAAAAGGTCCCCAAAGTCAGAGAACACAGCCTGATCAGAGTGCTGATGGCTGTCCTCGATTTAGCCACCAGCCCAGCCACACTCTATCACTGCACAATGTTCCCAGCCCTTTTTATAATTTATTTATTTACTTATTTTTTTAGTATCAGGGATTGAACCCAGAGGTGCTTAACCACTGAACCACATCCCCGGCCTGTTTTATTTTTTTATTTTGAGGCAGGTTGAGTTCACTAAGTTGTTTTGGGCCTCGCTAAATTGTGGAGGCTGGCTTTGAACTGGCAGTCCTCCCGCCTCAGCCTGCCCAGCAGATGGGATTACAGGTGTGCACCACTGCAGCCGGCTTTATTTCTTATTCTGAGACAGAGTCTCACTAAGTTGCCCTGGCTGGCCTCAAACTTTCCATCTCCTGCCTCAGCCTCCCAAGTTGCCGCGATGGCAGGTGTGCACCCCAATTCAGCCCGGCCTCACTCTTCACTGATGGCTGCCACTTTGGGATAGCCCCTTCTTGGATTAGTCATAGCTTCCATTTGCTCCTTTCTTACATAAGCCTCTAATTGTTTTGTTTTCCCAAAAAGTTTTATGGGGAGCTTTTTTTCCGAGATGGGAAAAATCCCTATTGCATCATCCCCCTTTTCAGAGGGAGACACTTAGACCCCAGTGGGCAATTTACTTGGTGCTTAAAAGCTAAGGAGTAGCCCAGCTGGGGATAGAGTGAGCCCAGAAAGGCCTAGAAGGTAGAGCTTGTGCTGTGTGCTCATTCAGCACCCAAAGCACTTGGCTGTGCCAGGTGTTGGAAATGCAGAGGCGAGAAAAGCAGATGGGACCTGAGTTGTCCTCCAAGGTGGGGCAGGGCAGGGGCCACAGGGACTGCTCAGCCTAGTCTTGAGAGGTCAGGCTTTGTGGGAAAAGCTGCTCCAACCTGAAATCTGAGGCCTGAGTCTAGTTGGGGAACAGCCGAGGGCACATGCAGACCCTCCAGCACAGTGTGGTTGGGACCGCAGTATCAGAGTGCATGCACCTCTCCGGGTCCCAGGTACGAAGGAAGGTAGAGGTACACCCAGGTGTCTCGTTCTCTTTGACCTTCAAATCTCACTGGACTCTCTTTTTTCAGAGCGTATGACAATGTCCTCAAGGATGCCGTCACAGTCAAGAGCCAAGCCTTGGCCATGGTGCCCGGCACGCCCCCAGCCCCCACCCAAGTGCTGTTCCAGCCGCCTGCCTACCCTGCCCTCAGCCAGGCGACGACGACCCTGGCCCAGCTCCAGGCCCCCGTGCAGGACCTATGCTTGGCCTACAGGGACTCGCTGCAGGCCCACCGCTCAGGGAGCCTGCTCCCGGGAGGCACTGGCTCCTCCCTCCACGCTCCTTACCCCACCCTCCAGCCCCTGGACATGTGTCCCATGTCTGTCCCCGCATCTCTTAGCATGCAGATGACCATTGCAGCCGAGCCCAGGCACTGCCTTGCTACCACCTACGGAAGCAGCTACTTCAGCGGGAGCCACTTGTTCCCTGCAGGCTGTTTTGACAGATAGGCCAACTTTGGGCCACATGGGCGAGCCTCAAAGAGCCAGGCAGAGGAAGAGAACACCCCAGAGGAGAGCTGAGCCAGGTGAGGTGCCTGGAGGCCCTGCCCGAGAGCCCAGTGCCCTTGGACGTAAAAAGGGCTTGTTTTTTTGTTTTTTTGTTTTTTCCCTTTAAATAAAACTGACCCAAGCAAAGCATTCAATGACATACCTCACCACCGAGAGCATTCCTCTGAAAATCCTCTCCCATGTGTGCCTGGGGTATAAAGAAGGCTCAGTGGCTGTTCCCCCAAGCAGGGGTCCAGTGAATCAAGAAAGACTTGGGAAGAGGCCAGAATACTAGCCCACAAGCACCTCCAGTTTGGGCCTCAGAGACTTCTTCGCAGCCACGTCACTGACAAAGAAGGGGCGGCCTGGCGCCTTCTCAGGACCCTGAAGCCAGCCGTGGTGGGTTCTCCCCACCTTTGGCTCCACCGAGAGGCCTGTGCATGTGGGCTGAGTGCCTCCTTGCAAGACCCTGCGAGTGGCTGTCTCGCCTTTTGTTTTTGAACGTGAAACTTTTTCCGGCCTTTTAGATACTTCACATGCTGCTGCTTCCCCAAGTGATCTAGCTTTCTGTTCCGCAAGATGTCGTGTTTACATACTACATCAGGGATTTTGTGATACTTGAAAAAAACAAAAATTCCTTAAGAGAAAAGAAACAAGTTTAATTGCCACACTCTGCCTGTCCCCCGCGAGACTGTCAGTTTTAACCCATCTTGGGATGGACCCGCAGTAGCACCAGAGCTCCCTTTTCAGAAGCACGCGATGGGTGAGAACCACCTCGAAGGCTCTTGGTCCCAGAAGATTCCATGTCTTGGATGCTGTAGAACTTTGATGACCACCCGGGGGCTGGAGGGGGATAACGAAGGTGGACACCATCCCCACCTCCCTCCACCAGTTGCTTATGGTATGTCAGGTGACACCAGCCCGGGCTTTGATTTTGGCTAATAGCAAAGGGTAAGAATGTGGAATGCTTGTTAATGCTGCCTGGATGGGGACGTGGGGTGTATCTGTCACCATCGCTGGTAGGCAAGGGGTTGGTTGCATCAAAAACCAGTATTGGGGGATCTGCAGCAAGAGGGATCTCAGGAAGATTCTTGTAACCATGTGCAATATGTTTTTTATTCCGACTCCCAGCTTCTGCTCAGCATGTTTCTTTTGGTTTGTTGGTTTGTTGTCAGGAGACACACTGTTCGCCCGTCAGAACTGGGAGGTACAAAGGACGGAAGCAAATTTTGTTGTTTGGTTTGCTTTTTATTTTATTTTTTTAAGAGAAACCCATCTTGGTTTTCTTGACTCATTGGTGTTCTTGACTCTTGACTCACTGTCTAGGAGACCGTGACAGGGGCCGCCAGGAAGGCGGCCGAGGGCTGCTGAGTTGGCTCCAGAGTTTTTTGGAGCAGATGAAAGTCTCAGTGTGGAAACGGAAAAGAGACGGGCTGTGGCTGAAGCGCTGCCGCCCCACCACACTAGCATAGGAACTGCAGGGTCCTTTGTCCTGTCTCCTTCCCCTTTGCTGACTCCTCCTATTTATGTGCGACTGGGTGGGACTCCGGGTTATTGTGTCTGTCTGTTGTGGGGCCAGGGGCTCCTGAGGGGCTACCCCAGCAGCCTGGCTCCCAGAAATAAGTGTCCCGCAATAAACATATCACCTGCGCTCCATCTCTCTGTTGTCTTCCTGGGCTTCCCCTCTCAGGCCAGCCCTTTTCTCCCCCCCTCCAGTGGGCCATCGAGTGTCTCCTGGGATGAGCAGCAGGGTGGTGGGGTATCAGGATTGGCAACAGCAAGACTGGCTTCTTTGGAGCTGGGTCCTGCCCTCTGAGCTGGAATTGGGCCTCCCTGGGGACACAGGCTGGGCAGAGAGGGTGTGTGTATGACTTGACATCCCAGCTCGTGACTGTACCAGTCAGGGCTCTCCAGGGGACAAACCAATAGGACACGGGGAGAGATTTGCTTTAAGGAATTGGCTCATGCGACTGTGGGACTGGCATGTCTAAAATGTGGGGCAGCATGACAACAGGCTGAAGACTCAGGTAAGAGTCAACACTTCTGGCTGGGCGTGTGACTCAGGGACAGAGTGACTGTCTCCCATGCACAGGGCCCTGAGTTCAATTCCAATATCACAAGAAGAAGTAAAAGTAGATACTGCAATGGAGTCTAAAGTCTAGCTCACGTCAGGGGCTCAGGCATGATTTCTGTGTTGCGGTCTTGAGGCAAAATTCCACCCCTGGGAAACTTTAATCTCTGCCCAGAAGGTCTTTGGCTAGGGGAATGGGGCCCGCCCATGTTATGGAGGTCATCTATCTGCTCGACTGTGAATGTCAGGCACATCTAAAACAACACCTCCGCAGCAGCATCTTCGCAAGTGTTTTATCAACTCACTGAGCACCGTAGCCTAACCAAGTTGACATATAAAATTAATAATCGTAACCACTTTTTAGCCGTTGGAAGGTCGTTTACCAACTTCCCTGAGCCTCTGTCTTCTTACCTGTTAAAGTAGGGGCAGCAACAGCCCTTGCCTCAGGCTTCTCACGAAGATCAAACACCGTGATGTACATGAAGGCTGGCATCTCAGGAAAAAGGGGTAATTATTGTGTCTCTAAACACAAAATCACTGTAAGATGCACCATTATCTATGTACCAGTGCGTTTATTGTGTTGGGAGGRCCTGGGTTTGTATTTTTGAGACAGGATCTAATTATGTTGCTCAGGCTAGTCCTGGGCTCAAATGACCAAACATAGCTGAGACTACAGGTGTGCACCACTATGCCCAACTAAGAACTAAAGCCAAAAGCCAGGTGTGGTAATCCCATCAGCCCCGGAGGCTGAGGTAAGAGGATTGCAAGTTCAAAGCCATCCTCAGCAACTTAACAAGGCCCTACGAAACTTAGACCCTGTGTCAAAATAAAATATAAAAATGGCTGGAGGTATGGCTCAGTAGTTAAGTGCCCCTGGATTCAATCCCTGGTACCAAACAATAAGAAAAGAAAAAGTCTTGCCAAGCCCTGGGGATGTAGCCCAGCAGTAGAGTGCCTACTTGCCCAGTATTTCTGAGGACCTGAGTTGCATCCCCAGCATCACAAAAAGAAAAGAAAAAAAATCCCCATCAACTTAATGACAGTGCTTAAAATGCCATGGATTCTATTCAGGAGTGTTTAAAAATGTCAAACTGTGTAGGTAGAACCACGGAAGACACATCCACTGTCATGAGGATATTGATTCCTGCCCTTCCCTGAAGGGCTCTCTTTGGGGCCTGTCCTGCTCTCCGCCACTGGGTTCCAGCAAGAGAACCACCCTGAGAGCTGGTGTCATAGGTGCTGCGAGGGATTTAGATTTGCCAAGCAAATGTGCCTTTGGTTGGGGTGGGGAGGCATGCGGAGGTGTGTGGAAGTCCCAGGAAGGGTGCTTGGGGACCATGTCTATTGGCAGGTGGAGTTGGGAACTGATCTCTCTGTGTACAAGGCCCAGTGAAGCAGGAGGCTCTGGGTTTGGGAAGATTAGAGACAAGTCTCATTTACCAAGAGCATCTGCCTCACTGTGGGCAAATCCCTCCCTCTTTGGGCTTCGGTTCCCCACCTGTTTCCATGGAGATGGTTGAATTGATGGCTGAGTTTGAACTCAGGGGGAAGATGGGCTGCAGAGTCCCTGGCCCCTGCCTTCAGCTGGAGGGATTTCTCCCACACACGTGTGTTCCATTCAACATTTGGTCGATTCCCATGCTGGGGGTGGGTGGCTAGGAAAGGGTTTTTTGTTCTTTTTTTTTTTTTTTTTTTTTTTAGTAACAGCGACAGCCTTAAAGGCCCTCCCAAGGGCTGACATCTGGCTGAATCCAGAGGTTTTCAAACCTGAGCAAGCTGAAGAATGAGTGGCCTGGAGACCTAGAGGGGTGGCATCCTGGAATCTGCATTTTTAACCATCTTCCTGGTGACTTGAGTACAGCATTTCCTTGAAGAAGGAAAGAAGGGTTAAACGTGCAGGACACAGATTCCATGCTCACAGGAAGAGGGCAAGGAAACGACATCCCAACCCAAGCTCAGCCATCTGAGCTCTCAGCCTCGGCTTTATCTTGCACTTAACACTCTTCCTTCTCTTAAGTATTTCTTTCAGTGAGCTGTGTGAAGGGTTGGGAAACTCAGGCTCCTTTTCCAATGAGAACTTGCTTCTATCCAGGTTAACATTTGCAAGTGACCAGATTAGGGATAGGGCCAGGCTTCCAGTGCCTCTGGCCCTTGAGTTTTCAGGCCATCTCTTCAAAACTGTTTCCTCTCTGGTCTGCTCTTCTCCCTTAATCCTTGTGGGACTGGCTCCTTACCTTTCATAGCAGTGATTCTCAGCTAGAGTCACTGTTGTGACCCAGGGAATATTTGGCAGTGTCTAGAGATATGATATATTCAATTGCAAGAGGAAATGGTCTTGGCATCCAGGGGGCAGAGATCAGGGGTGCTGCTTAACATAATTAAATGCACAGGACAAAGAAATGATCTGGCCTGGCACAGCGGCACACTCTTGTCACCCCAGCGGCTTGGGAGGCTGAAACAGGAAGATCACAAGTTCAAAGCCAGCCTCAGCAAAAGTGACGCACTAAGCAACTTAGTGAGATCCTGTATCTAAATAAAATACAAAGTAGTGCTGGAGATGTGGCTCGGTGAGTGAGTACCCCTGAGTTCAGTCCCAAGCCCCCTGCCCCTCCCCCCCAAAAAAAGAAATGATCTGGCTGCCCCCGATGTGATGGTACACACCTGGAGAGCCGCAGTGAATAAGGGAGTCAGTTCAAGCTCCTGCAATCTGAATCGGCCTTGCCACCCCACAGGGCCAGGTGCAAGGGTTTGGAATGAGAGAGAAGACCCACAGTGGCCCAGCGGCCCATCCTCTGTGGGAGCTCCCCATGCACTGGAGGAGCTTGACTGGAGGAAGTTGGTGCCCTGGCAGAGTGGGAGTGATGACCTCCAAGAGTCAGGGTGAAGGTCATGAGGAGCCTGGGGTTAAGGGTGCCTGCTGCATCTTGAACAGTGCTGGAAACACACTGCTAGCTTTTTGGAAGCCGTTGGTATACCTATTAACCTCTATCTGTATAACTCCCCTGTGACCCAGGAGGGGACGGTTATATTAACCCATTTTACACACAGGAAAGATAAGGCTCAGCAAGGCCCAGGACTTGCCCACGTGGCTTCCATGTTGGTGGAGGCACTCCCAACCCTTTAGTCTCACTGCCTTGGGACTGATGGGGAGGTGAGGGCGGCGGGAGTGCATACCGAATCCATTAGGTAAATTACAGCTGTTCCCCCACCTACAGCTGCGGAGCCTGAAGCTCAGAGAAGTGAATGAACTTCCCCAAGGTAACACCAGTACCATGTGACAGAAGAGGTATTAGAGTCCTGGCAATGTGACTGAGTCAAAGTTCCTAAGTAACCACTCATCTCTTCTGGCTCCCAGGAGGCCAGTGAAGTGGATGCTTTCCTCCAGCTCACTTTCCGCCACTTACCCCAGAAACTAGCCTCCATCAGGGAGAGAAGCCCAGTCCTTTACTCTCAGTGCTCCGCTCCCCCCCCCCCCTTTGCTGTGTGACCTTGGGTGAATTTCTTCCCTTCTCTGAGCCTTGGTTTTCCATATCGGAAATACACAGTTACAACTGGTTGAGAACTGAGATCCTGCTGTCCTAGGTTCTGCACTTCTGAGATTATGTGGCAACATGGGCTTAAGAGGTCCTTCCCTGCCAACAATTTGAATTTGTCCTTGAATAAATTATGGATATGAAATCTCTCTCTCCTTCCCTCCCCTCCTGCCTCTTCCTCTTCCTCTTCCCTGCCCTTCCTCCCTTCCTCCCTCTCTCCCTCACTCAATTTTCAGTCTAATTATGGGTAACTCTGTGTTATTTAGAGACTTATTATCCGAGCTCATTATGAGTAATTATTCAGTCTGGAGGGGAAACAGCAACACTGCTAGTTTAATTTAATGCTTACCTAGTTCACTTAATTAGCAATAAGTCTTGGCAAAACGTTGGAATTCGTGGGGTCCTGGCTGGGTGGGTGGGTGAGAGAGGCTGTTCTTGGAAAGAAGGTCTCAGGGAAGCCTGTGGGAGGAGGCGAGGGGAGGGTAACCAGTAGGCTGGGCCTAGTGTCCGTCCAGGCTGCCCCAAGGGTGAAGGACTGCAGATTGCACGGGGCCAGAAGAAACTTAGGGGCAGAAGCTATGGGAGACCAACCTTACACGTGATTGAGTCACACTCCCCGGCTGGGTGCTGAGGTGCTCAGTCACAGAAATGTGGGCAGTGTCTCGTGCATGGGTGTGTCTTGCTACAGCCCCATGGGTGGAGCTACACTCACCTGTTCCTTTGTAATATAACCCCTTGCCCTGTTTAGGATAGAATCTTCCATGGAAGTGCCTTGTGTGTGTCCCCTTCTCTTACTGTGCCCTTGGGTGTGGCCTACCCAGGTGTCAGTCAACCTGCTGACAGTGGACATCATGAAGATAGACTCAGCCCCCTGAAACCTGACCCCTTGCCTCATTTGAATAGCTTCTCCTCAATAAAAGGGGTCAGCGGGTGCTCTCTCGCTCTCTCTTTCTGCGGACCCTTAAGGTCAGAGGAGCCGTCACAGCGACCCCAAAGAAAAAGATGTTTGTGTCTCTTGTGTGGTTATTTCATGCAGCCCAGTTAGCCCAGTTTAACTGGAGTGACTCCTGAGCCTTTTAGTTGAAAGAAGAGAAACCCGGCAGGAAACACTTATTAAGCACCTGCTGTGTGCTGGGCAAAGCTTATTCCTTATTCCCTGAGTATAGAACTTGTACATCCAGGATAATTTCAGTCCGCCTGCCTTTGAAAATTTGCAGTATGTTCTCTTTTTTCCTGTGTGTGTGTGTGTGTGTGTGTGTGTGTGTGTGTGTGTACATACTGGGGATTGAATCCACGGGTGCTTTACCACTGAGCTACATCCCCAGCCCTTTTTATTTTATTTATTTATTTTTATTTTGAGACAGGGTCTTTCTAAGTTGCTCAGGGCCTCACTAAGTTGCTAAGGCTGTCCTTGAACTCCTCCTCCCTCAGCCTCCAGAGTCACTAGGATTACCAGCACAGTGCCCAGCTTCCTTTTAGTAATCTTAGAATAATTTTGACTGGTTAGGGGAAAGGATTTCCTGTCGATTTTACCATGTCTTTTACCTCTCTCATAAGGGAAGTGCCATGCTCAGGGCTTTGGGCAGGTAACAAGATACACCTAGAAGTTCACATTGCTTGGCTGTGACTTTTATGAATAGTTTTCCTCTACCTATGGCAAATGATATTGACTGTCCACCTATGGAAGTGACCTAAAACTTTCCATGATAGTAAGAATAAGTGAACTGTCATACAGAAAAATATTGGGTGAAAAGAAGTCAGGTTGATACCCAGAAGTGGCAGATGCTTCCAAGGAGAAAGGAGATGAAAACAGGGCTGTTCGGTGCTCTGGGTTAGGGATCGTCAAGCCAGGGACAAGCGGGCCACCCTTCTCCACCCCTGTGCCCTGGCAGGCCTGGTTTCCCATCAGTCATAGGACATCTGCTTGGAATCCTCAACCCAAGGCTCCAGGGCCTGCCAAAGGATCAGAGTGGGCCTCCTGATCCCTTCCCCAGCCTCTCCTAGCTCCTCCCAGGGGCCCTGCCCCAGCCCAAGACCTCCAGTCCCTCCAGCCACTCCACAGCCCTTCGCCGTCTCCTGGATCATCATTTCCTTTCAACCCCTCATGGTTCTCCTGAGGCCTAAAGAGATGACTCCACAGCCCAGACGGAACCCCTCCCCGGGATAAGCCCTGGTGCTTGCACCCTGGGGTCTGCCCTGCCTTGGAGATTGGGCACTTCCTGGAGGTATGTCTGCCCCCCTCACCCGGCACCCAGAGTGTTGAGAGCCACAGCCGAAGGGGCCCCAACAAACTTCCAGCTGCCAGCAACCTTTCAGACTGCCAGCTGATGATTGGCTCAGAGCGGCCCCAGCAACATCTAGCTGATTGGCTCCTCCACGGAGCTGCTCATTGAGGGACTTCTTTGGCTCCGCCCACGCGACCCAGCCAATCTGCCTCAAGAGCAGGAGGATTGTGGGAGGTGGTGAGGCTTGTGTTTGTGAGAGAGGCTTGTGGGAAGCCGGTGGTGGCAGTTGGGCTCTGAGGGTTTTTCCTGAGGAGCTGTTTTGTTTGGCCTGTGTGGTTCTAAAAATAAAGTTCGTTTCTTTTGACAAGTGGCTCCTGAATTGTGCCCAGCCAGACTGCGGCACCAGAGTGCTCAGATGCTTATCCTGTGACCCATCTAAAAGTCCCAAGTGAATTGTCTTTTTAAAGGAGCCTTTATGGTATGCACTTGTCATCCCAGCTACTTGGGAGACTGAGGCAGGAAGATTTGAGACCAACCTTAGCAACACAGCAAGACCCCATCTCTGTTTCCTGGAGAGGAGGGCAGGGCGGGGGAGCCCAGAAGCGTGTCACCATGGACTCCCTGTGGCTTCTCCCAGGGCAGGAGCATTGCAGTTCCTATTCATGGTCCCCTCTGTCAGCATGAAGAGGATTCCACTGGGGTCTCAAGGCCAATGCCTGGCCCATGCAATCATCCTTGGGGGCTTTCCCACCCCCACCCAGCCAGAGGCTGTCCCAAGACACCAGGAAACAAAGAGTTTCTGCAGTGAGCAGTATCTGCTCTCATTCAGTTTTATTGGTGGGTTTGTAGCCTCCCGGAACCCCATACAATGGCTCAGGCCACCCTCTTGCTCACGCGCTCATAAGTCACACCGCCAACGGTGGAGATCTGAAAGAAGCAGCCAGAACAGAGGACGTCAGTGCAGTGACAGAGGCCATCCACCATGGGGCACAACTCAAGGAAGACCGGCCTCCAGCGCCACCCTGAGTAGACAGGGCAGGCACCATTTGGCTGCGTCTTAGGTGCCCAGTCTGTTGCAGGAATCACTGTGCAGGGTCAAGGTGGCAAACAGGTGTAAGGGGTGACGCGCTGGGTGCTAACCTGTCACCTCTGTTCACTTCCTCTCACTGACCCAGGCAATTCCCCTGCAGGATTCCACTGACCCTCCCAGCAGCCCTGGAAGGTCGCCCTGTTGCACAGGGGAGGAAACTGCAGGCTCGAGAGCTTGGGAGATGGTTTCAGTTCTTGGGCACAAGCCTGCCTCTCGCTCTCATGCCCTGTGCTCTCCCTGTGCACTTCACAGGCTGAGGAGCTTTGCTTCTGGGAATCACGACCCCTGGCTGACATTTCATGTAAAAATGTACCAGAGCATTCACCAGATCCTCCAAGAGACCATTTTCACCCAACGGAAGAGGGATACTCACTTCCTTTTATACTTGTATAACATTATACATCTATTCAGTTATTTTTTAAAAAGTAAAAATAAAGGGAAAGAGAAGACCTATTGGCCTGGAAAACAGCCTAGTCTAGACACTGGGGGATGGGATTCGCCTCTGCCACTGTTAGCTGTGTGGCCTTGGGAAAGTCACCTGCTGTCTCTGAAAGAGACAGCTTCTTTATAAAACAGGAATAATGGAAGGCACTGAGCCTCTTAGGCACATTCGTCTTTATATTAATGCCCCCATCCCAATTCATAGTTAAGACCCCAGTCCCCAGTGTGAGGCCATTTGAAGACCGGACCTTGAGGAGGTAACTGGGTTACAAGGGTGGGGCCTCCTGATGGGAATACTGGCTTTCTAAGAAGAGACCAGAGACAACCTCTCTGTCTGCACTTGAGGAAAACAGGAAGAGTGCCCACACCAGCCCCTAACAGTGCCGCCCCTTGATCTTAGACTCCCCAGCCTCCAAAATGGGGAAATTAAGCCACCTTAGCTAGAACAGGCAGTTCACTCCCTCCCTCCCCATCAGGCTCCAGAAGAGAGTGGTCGCAAAACAAGGGAAAGAGAGAGAGAKCAGAAAGGGGCCGAGGGGAGGTAGGTGTCCAGCCCTGCCTCCCTCATCAGTGCCCTTCTGGAGAGTTCTTCCTAGACCTACGCTGGACGATTTCTCTTCCCTTTAACCTCATTTCTTCTCCCTAGGGAAAACTCAGGGGACCAGGGAGAAGAGGCAGAGGGGAGGCCAGAACCCCCCAGGCAGCACTTCTGACCAGGACTAGGCTTGGAGAGTGTGGGAGAGGCCAGTCTGCAGATAGGTGGGTCAGACCTGCCAGCATTAAAAAATTTTTTTCTAAGTAATTGCCAACATTTTACAGTGTGGAGAGACAAATGCAAACTTCCAGCTTCTTTTGAAAAATCAGAAAATGTGGCAGGAAGGGCCTGAAGACCCCTGTGGGAAGGGAGTGAAATCGCAGCTGCCCCAGAGGGGCCCACCTGCACCACCTCCTTCATTTACATTCTGGGAAGGGTCCTGGGAGCCAGCAGACTCACTAGTGGGGCCCCTCACTAGTGGGGCGCTGGAGTCAGCTGTGCTCCCCTGGAATCCCAGCTTTGTCATCAAAGCTACATGCCTACCTGCCGATCCCTGAGCTTCCCTGTGAAATGGAGATAAAAATCCCCCTCTGACAGAGGGTGTGTTCAGATCAAAGGAGAAATGTGCACCCTGCGCTAGGGAAGTTCCAGCTGCCCACAGGCTGACCTTGAGGGGGGCGGTGACTGGGGGTCTGATGAATCAGTCCCCGAATCCAAGGGTCTGATACTCACCTCCACCAGCTTGTCACCCACCACCTCCGAGGTGTGGTGATAGTTGGGGAAGTCCACCACCAGCTTATTGCCCTCCATCTGCACGGTAGCCTGGAAGGGAAACACGGAACCTGAGCCACAAGAACCCTCCAAGCAGCTCAGCCCAGCCCCTCCAGGGAGGAAGAGCCCTCAGCAGCCCAGCGATCCTCTCTAGGAGTCTGCCTGGACACAGGCAGCTGCAGACTTCCAAAGACAGAAATGACCTTGAGCAACTCCCTTAACCTCTCTGTGCCTCAGTTTACCCATCACTCAAATGGAGCAAGTGGCTACCTACCTCATAGGGTTGCTGGAAGGAATAAATGATAAAGGGGACTAGGTAGGGGGAGCTCAGTGGTAGAGTATTGGCTTAGCCTGTGTAAGGCTCTAGGTTTAGTTCTTAGCACCAAAAAATATTATTAAATAACAATCTATGCAAAGTACTTAGAACAGTGCCTGGTGCATGGTGTAGTTAAGTGTACAGAGTTAGCCATGGAGCAATATTATCCAAGGAATTTGATTACTAGCATTGTAGTCATTAACAACCTAAATATCCAGCCTATTTTATCCACCAGTCAATACCTAAATACGTATCAATGGGGAGTGGTTAAAGAAATTAGAGCTTTTCTGTACTCCAGGATAATGTGCTACTATGAAAAAGAATAAAAATAATCAATATGCTGACTCACAGAGGTTCTCTCCCAGGAGAGGTTAATTTTTTTAAAAAACCTAAATGGGTCTGGGGCTAGAACTCAGTGATAGAGCCCCTGCTTAGCATGCACAAGGCCCTCACTTGCAGCTCTACCCCCTGCAGCAGCCTGTGGTAGTCTAAACTGGGCTCAACCCCCAGCAAGTTAAAAAAATAATAAAAAAAAATAGGGCTTAGGTTGTGGCTCAGCCGTAGAGCACTCACCTAGCATGTGCGAGGCCCCAGTTCAATCCTCAGCACCACATAAAAATAAATAATTAAATAAAGATATTGTGTTCAACTACAACTAAAAAATAAACATTTTTAAAAAGTAAAAAATAGAAGTGGCAGTACGTGAACATCACGGTGACTTACTCTCCACCTTGGCAGCCTGAGGAGCAGGGTACTCTCATGCTCATGTGGAGGTCTACCGAGAGGACCCAGAAGGGGTAGAAGGCCTAAGGGACCAGCCCTGGTAGGATGGGGACAGCCAGCCACTTTCCCTTCTCTGCTACCCATGATTGATTACAGCTTCAAACCTGAGTGAGAGGGACTCTGGGGAAGCCCTGCTCTATACTAGGGGGCAGCATAATAAGGGACCACAGAGGGTCGAGCAGGGATTTGTCAAGATGCCCAGAATTCAGTCTGAAAGAACCTCCTGGCTGAATGCTTTAGTGACCTGGCAGTTCCGTGTCCCACCAGGGACTCGTGTGCGCCTGCAGAAGCAGTGCCCTCTGCAGATAGCTTAACCATTGGCACATAGCACATAGCACAGGCTGCTGTCCTGTGGCCACTTACTGGATGCAGAGTCTTAGGTCCATCGTGTGGCCTCCCTGAGCCTCATTTCTTTGCCTCTAAAACAAGAATAAATTACTGACCTCTCAGCCCAGCTTTCACTGTGTGTCAGGCACCCCGCAGGTGCTTCTGTGCATCATTGAGCTGACTCTTCTCCATGGCTCTTTGGGTCAAGGACCACACCTGGTGCCATGTCCTAGATATCTGAGGCTCAGGGAAGTGAAAGGAGTTGTCCAAGGCCCCATGGTCACCTGTGGGAGATGAGGCTTCCAATCTTGCTGATGTGGACAACAGGGCCTGGGCTCCATATCTCTCTGCTACACTGAAAGGCAGCTTCACAAAGCAGCCGTGCTCTCTGGAGCCAGACCACCTAGGTGTCGAGGCCTACCCTTGCTGTGTGACCAGGGACAAGCTATTTTTAATCCCAGGACTCAGCTCCTGGGGAGAGCCATTGTAGGAACTTCATAGGATTAACAAAGCTAAGAGGTATAAACCATTATCATAGTATTAACAAAGCTAAGAGGTATAAACCATTCAACCAGCTTCTAGGTTATGTTATATTAGGTGCTCAGGAAATGTTAGCTAATTTTATGGTCACTATAGTGTCCATTATTGACAACGGACATTACACACCAGGAGTGTTGTTAAATTCTCAGGTAATTGGAGCTCTTAATGCTGGTGGCCACACTGTAGAGAGACGTCTCAGTCTGAGAAACATGGAGGCCCCATTTGAGATGGAGGAAGCCAGAGGGTGGGGAAGCGGGAAAGGGTGGCCAGGGGCCTCTCACCTTGAACTTCTTGCCGCCCATGGTCTGTATCTCACTTTCCTTGCCAATGGTGAATTTGTTGGTCATGATGTGGCCCCCAGAGTAGGACTGGGCCCAGATGAAGTCCTGCCCGTTCTGCTGTATCTCCGTGATGGTCTTGAAGTTGCGAGCCTTCTCGATCACCTCGCCGGATTGACCTGGGCCGGGTGACAAAGAGAGGGATCACCTAAGAACTGCTGTTTGGAGCCCTGTGGTTTGGGGCTAGAGCTTTTCCTCCCAGTGGCAGGCCAGCCCGCAGGTGAAGAGCACAGTGACAGAACATGCCTTCAAAGCCCTACTGTGCCATGAGCCATGTGGCTGAGACATGTGGCCACCTCTCTGTACCTACATGCTTTTATCCAGGCAATGAGGATCATCAGACTGACCTCAGGCTGGGGATGTTGCTCAAGTGGTACAGGGCTTGCTTAGTGTGTGATCCCTAAAAATCCTTTAAAACTAAAAATAGGGTCTATTTCACAGGGTTGTGGCAAGCATTCAATGTCATTGTGTCTTTTAAAGCTCCTGGCACTTATCTGTTCTTCATCAAAAATAGCTGATCTTCTAACAGTAGTTATAAACATAATAGAAAATTGCCAAGTTCACAAAGTTCTAGAATGAATGGGACCTTCAAGATTGTCTTCTAATTCTCTTTTTTCTATTTTGTTTTGTTTTGTTTTTACTGGGAATTGAACCCAGGGGCACTTTTATCACTGAGCAACATCCCCAGCCCTTTTCATTTTGTATTTTGAGACAAGGTCTCACTAAGTTGTTGAGTGTCACTGGAATGACAGGTGCGAGCCACGGAACCTGGCTTGTCCTTCTGGTTTACAGTTAAGAAAATGGAGACTTAAGCCAGGTGTCGTGGCTCCTGCCTGTAATCTCAGCAGTTTGGGAGGCTGATGAAGGAGGATTGCAAGTTCAAAGCTAGTCTCAGCAACTTAGCAAGGTCCTAGGCAACTCAGTGAGACCCTGTCTCTAAACAAAATACAAAAAAAAAAAAGGGGGGCTGGGGATGTGGCTCAGTGGGTAAGCACCCGCTGGGTTCAATCCCTAGTACCAAAGGAAAAAAAATGGAGACTTAGTCAGGTATGGTGGCGCACACCCATCATCCCAGCAACTCGAGAAGCTGAGGCAGGAGGATTGCAAGTTTGAGGCCAGCCTGGGTAACTTAGCAAGACCCTGTCTCAAAATAAAAATAAAAAGGACTGGTGATGTGACTCGGTGGTAGAGCACCCCTGGGTTCAATGCCTGGTGCTGGGGGGTGGGGTGGGGTGGGGTGGGGAGGAAGGGGCTTTCCAGTGTGGCAGAACAGGGTCTAGACCTGAGTGGGCTCACTTGCAGCTCTACCCCTTGCAGCAGCCTGTGGTAGACTAAACTGAGTCACTGGTCTCTGGAGCTGCCAGGATTCTCCAGAGGGTTCTGCCTCCACAGGCTTCAGGGAACAAGGGCCCTGCAGGCAAGAGGTGACCACCAAGAGGTAGTGACAGATCCCCCAAGCTGTTCACCAAGTCTGGGCTGGTACACTGCCTCAGACTTAGATGGTGCCCCGAAACTTCCATGGGATTGTCCCTGGTTCCTCACATCAGATCGTAAGTCAAGCCAGAAAGTATGAAACCCTGAATCTCTCTGCCCACCGCAGCACAGGTGGGCACAGCCTGTGTTTGTTGAATGACTGAGTGAAGGAGTGACTTATCCAACCTGGTCTCTATACTAATCTCCCATTGTCGTCTCTCCCCAGGCAGGACATGACAGGGTCCTGGAAGCTAAAGACCTTTTCCACTGACTTGGACAAGTCATGCTGAGTGTCCCCATAGGTGACATTGACATTGGGATAGCTCTTGCACACAGCAGGTGTCCAACAAATGTTTAAATGAATAAACACCAAGTTTCTCATTCACCAACAAAGCCTCCAAAAAATTACTAACTATGTGACCTTAGACTAGTTACTCAACTTCTCTGTGTCTCAAGTTTTCTATCCATAGAAATACTAATATTCTATAAGAATCTTAAAGTTAAAGGTTGTCTTATGGTTTCTGTTATCCTCAGAGACAGCACAGAGGAGTTGCTCTACAAATGTGTGAGTGAATGAGTAAGTGAATGGATGAAGTCCTGTCCCGCTCTACCCAGGATTCTGGTTCTGGGCCCAAGTTGGCCGCCTTGGACCAGCCCCGGGGAAGGCGTACTCAGGAGGCCACTCACCCAGGCGCTTCATGAACTCGTCATAATTCTTCTCACTCTCCAACTCGAACTTGCCGCTGAAGGCCATGCTGCTGGGAGATCTGGAGGCCAGACAGGAGGAGCAAGCAGAAGAGAGTCGATGCTGGGCCACCCGGAGTCTCAGCTTATAAACGCTCCCAGCTGCTGGGGCTCAGCCCCCAAATCACCCCATATCTCCCTCCTGACCCTGAAGAGGAAGCACTTGCTGCTTTATGATGTGGGCAGGGCCCGGAGGGACAGGGCCCTGCGGTTATTCACCTTGGGGAAGTACCAGACATCAGACATTGCCCTTCCCTGCAAGGCCAGGGTCAGGACTGCTGGAGGGTCTGAGGAGCCTGCCCCCTCTCTGCCCGTCCGTCCCTCCATTCCCCCGTGTCCTGCCCTTCTGTCTTCCCATCTCCCCTTCACTCATTCACTCCCTCCTCATCGAATGCGGTGCACTGATCACCTACTGTGTGTGGGGCCAGCCCTGAGCAGGCACAGATGACTGAGACACACACTTCTCTAGTCTAGCCCAGGGACAAGGCACAGGCCTGCAGAGCAGGATGTGAGGCGTCCTGAGCAAGGAGCAGGTGTGTGGCCTGGGGCACGGGGAAGGAGTCCCAGTGTCTAGCCACGGGTTGGAGCAGCTTTGGGGAGGAGGTGGCACTTGATACAGGGCTTGACAGGCAAATGGGATTTGGATGCAGATAGAAGCTGCTGGAAGGTTAGAGGAGGCTGAACAAAGGGAAGTGATATTCTAGAATGAGGGGACAGTGTGACAAAGGTGGGAAGGGCCACAAAGAAAGGAAACAAGGACTCTGCAGCAAAGAGACCTGGAGGGGAACAGACAATAAGGATGCAGATGATGCAGCCAAAGCAGAGCAGCAGCCAGGGACCAGGGCAAAGAGGGACGGGGAGTGCCAGGGTGCCCTGAGGACCTCTGGGTGCCAGGCACTGGACCACGAGTTCCACGAATTTCACTCTGTTCAAGCTTCACCGCGGGAAGACGCTCCAGCCTCAGACCCTTGACTTCCAGTCCCTGTCCCGTCTTCCAGGTGGGGCCTCCAGATCCTCAGTGGTAACTGTGCCCTGCCTGATTGTGGCATGTTCCCTGGATCAAACGCAACAGGCAGGCGAAGTACAGAGCACTCGGCGTGGCCTTCCTCCTTACCATCAATTAAGGAAACCTCGGCAAGTCTCTCTCCTTTTCCTGGGTCTTCTCTCCATGAACCCCTTCATTTCTATCCAGAGTAAGCTCCCCAGGGATATAGCTCAGTTGGTAAAGTGCTTGCCTTGCATACACAAGGCCCTGGGTTCAATCCCCAGCACCACACACAACAAAAATGTTGTCACCCAAAGTAGGCTCTACCAGGCCTGGGGCTAAGCAGTTTCTGAATTTACTTGAGGAAAAAGAAAGGATTTTGCCACACACGGTGGTGACCGTGCCTTAAAAATAAATAAATAAATAGACAAATAAGTAAATAAATAAAAGGGCTGGGGATGTAGCTCTGTGGTGGGGCACTTGCCTAGCACACATGAGACCCCAGTCCTAAAAAGGAGTACTGCAGGATAAAATCATAATATGTGCAGCTTGTTTATTACACATTGGGCACACTGTTGAGTGTTTAATGGTTTATGTGATTCAATCCTCAAAATGGCTCTGTGATGTAGGGACTCTTATTGTTCCGTTTTGCAAGAAGCAGACAGAAATTCAGAGAAGTGTAGCTGGGGTCGTGGGCAAGGAGTCACAGGATGCTCCTGCTGGCCTTTCTAGCCGCCACTTCACTCCGTTTCCCATAGACCTCCTGCATGGGCACAGCTGTCCCCTCCTCAAGGGCCACATATCTAAGGTCATCATCAAGAACAGGATGGAGTGGGGCAGGGGGTATTGGATTGGCAATGGGACGCCTGGCTTAACCACACCCCTCCCCGCCTCAGGAGACACCATGTGCATCTGACCTCCATCCTCCATCCACCCACACCTCCTTCCTTCACTCTCTTCCTGGGGTACAGGTGATCGCTCTGAGGTTCAATCAGAACCTCCCAGGAGGGGTAAATGAACTCAAGCTGCATCTGTATTGCAGTGAGGTTTTATGGGGCAATTGAACCAAGAGAGCAACTGTTCCCCAATGGAGATAAGAAGGGCCCCAAGGTTGATCCCTCTGGGTGCCACAACTTCCCCCCTGGACTCTGGCTCTGACCTCAAACAATCACCATCATCCTGTGAGTAATAACTAGAGTAGGAGGTGGGACACAAGTGCTTGAGTCCTTGGTTAGAAAAGGACCTCTGGGCACCTTCCTCCTCTCCCACCCCAGGACCTTATAGTCTTACGTGGGCTAAGTGAATGGTCAGAGTTGTCAACTCCTTCATCAATTCCCTGTTTCTCTTTCCTTAACCAGGAATCTGAAATGTTCATTGGAGTTGATCCTTGAAAGTCAGGGCTTAGGGAACTTGGAGGGCAATTGATTCCATCATGATTCTCCTAGTGCCACTCTCCAAGGTGAGTCCAAGGTGAGGGCTAGGGGACACAGCTCAGTGGTGGAATGCTTGCCTAGCACACATGGGGTTCTGGTTGCAATTCCCAGTGGAAAAGAGAGAGAGAGAGAGAGAGAGAGAGAGAGAGAGAGAGCTGATGGGGAAGGAAATAGATCAAATTGTGTTATGTTCATGTATTAATATGTAACTACAGGGGCTGGGGTTGTGGCTCAGTAGTAGAGCCTAGCATGCATGAGGCACTGGGTTTGATCCTTAGCACCACGTAAATATAAAAAAGAAAGATATTGTGTCCACCTAAAACTAAAAAATAAATATTAAAAAAATGTAACTACAAATTCCACTATTTTGTATAATTATAATGCACTAATAATTTTTTTAAATGAATGTCTAGGCCGGGGAGCTCAGTGAACATATGCTTAGCATCTGAAAGACCCTGGGCTTAGTCCCCAGTGCCGAAAATTTTAAAAAATAATTTTTTTTTTAAATCAGGTGGGGCACAGTGATGCATGTCTGTAATCCTAGAGGCTTAGGAGGCTGAGGCAGAAGGATTGCAAGTTCAAAGCCAGCCTCAGCAACTTATCAAGGCCCTAAGTAACTCAGTGAGAACTTGTCTCTAAATAAAATTATTTTGAGGTTAAAAAAAAAGGTTTTATTGCTTTGCTATCGAGGGAGAAACACAGGGGACTTGTGTTCAAAGGCTGTGATTCTGCCCATCATCAGGAACAGGGGGCTTTTAAAGAGGTGATTCAAAGGCTATATTCCACATATTCTCTGTTGGAGTAGTAATTCACTTGTTAACTTGGGAGATAGTTATTTCTGAAATCATAAATAAAATAATTTTTAAAAAGGGCTGGGGATGTGCTTAGAGATTAAGTACCCCTGGTACCAAAAAGAAAAAGAAAAAAAAATATATATATATATCAAAAGCTAAGAAATGCAGAGGTCCCTAAGAAAGTAAAGCTGGCTCTATTTTTACTCACAATAACTACATAGAGACCCTGGGGCCTATCTTAGCTCTTCCTGCCACTCATTGGTGGCACAGCCTTGGGCAAGTGATTTGTCTTCCTTTATCTCAGTTTTCTCATCTGCATAATGGAGATAATAATACTGTCCACCTGAAAGGGATGTTATCAGTAATCAATAAGTCTACTTTGTTTTGTTTCTGTAGGGTTTTGTTTGTTTGTTTCGAACTGGGGATTCAGCCCAGGAGTGCTGTACCACTGAGCTACATCCCCAGCCTGAGTCACTGGGATTACAGGCATGTGCAGAAGGCTTAAATGAGTTCTTTCTTGTAAAGCACTTTTTACAGAGCCCACAACGGGGCCTATCAGTGTTAGATCAACATGGAGGCTGGGTGGCTGTGCAGCCTAGACAGGGCTGTGTTGGATGGGCCAGCTTCACAGGGGTCAACATCTTCCTCATCTCCAAGTGTCAGGTGCCTCTGGGCTCAGTCCTCCTCCTTGACTTTGTTCTGAGTGCTCATTCCTGGATTCCATCCAGCCCAGAGCTTGAAATATCATCTAATGCCGGTGACTCCCAATCTTTTTTTTTTTTCTTCATCTTAGACCCCTCCTCTAGACTTGGGATATCCAACGGCCTATGTCACAGCTCCACCCCTGTCTCATGTCACCTCAAACTTCATTCACATCCATCCACACCCCTGTCCTGCTGGCCTGGCATAGGCTGCCCCTCCTGTGGGCTTCTCCCTCCCAGTTGATGAGGGAAATAGTAGGAACCGAGATCTAACATGCATCGGCTCTGAGTGGAATCCTGTCCTAAATGCTTTACCTGCATCATCACACTATGCAGATGAAGAAATGGTCTCAGGAATATCACACCCAGCAGGCACAGGAGTGCATACCTGTGATCCCAGAAACTCTAGAGGCTGAGGCACGGGGATGGTGAGTTCCACATAAGCCTCGACAACCTGGCGAGGCCCAAAGGACTTAGCAAAACCCTGTATCAAAATAAAACAAAAAGGGCTAGGGATGTGGCTCAGTGGTTAATCACACCTGGGTTCAATCCCTTGTATCAAAAAAAAAAAAAAAAATGTCAAGGTGGAACATGAAGGAGAGAGTCTGGCTCCATGTTTATACTCATGTCTGTAACTAAATGCAACAATTTCATTAATATGTGGCCTCTAGCTTGATGAGGCCTCTGGAGACTGTTTGCTCCTTTCGTACTTACCAAAGGAGCCCATACTGCTGGGCACTGTAGTAAGCATTTGTTTGGCATCTCATTTAGTCCACACAAAAGCTTCTGAAGGCAGCCAGGCGTGGTGGCACATGCTTGTAGTCCCAGCAGCTTGGGAGCCTGAGGCAGAAAGATCACAAGTTCAAAGCCAGCCTCAGCAACTTAGGATCTGAGCAACTTAGGAAGATTCTGTCTCAAAATAAAAAATAAAAGTCGGGATGGTGCACACCTGGAATCCCAGCAGCTTGGAAGGCTGAGGCAGGAAGATCACAAGTTCAAAGCCAGCCTCAGCAACTCAGTGAGACCCTGTCTCTAAATAAAATACAAAATAGGGCTGGGTTATGTGGCTCAGAGTTGAGTGCCCCTGAGTTCAACCCCTG